ATAGTATTGTGGACTATCCAAGATGGTATCTGCATGTTAGAAGGTGATAAATAATCCCGGTACAAGGTAAACCAAGGGGATCAAATCGTGTCTCAACAGAGACGATCGATACAGTAGTTGTTACAGTCAAACTAAAATTACATAAAGACCTCGTTTAAAAAATAAAAAAGTTTAAGCCATTCATCCGCTTTAAGTTGCTAATAAATTCAAGTAGTAATACATTTTATTTAGCGAAGCAATTACTTGTTGTTGCCAAACAATTACAAGCAATATATTCAATAAATGACACTAATACTTAAAGCAACATTAGTACTACTTATATAAAATATTAAATAATGATACAAAAATTAACACTCAATAATAAAAACAACAAAAATATATAAAATATAATTTACATCATAAACAAAATATCTTCTAGGAATTTTACTATACCATGTGGTTTCAACATAGAATAAGAGCAGATAAATAGAGAAGTTAAAATGAATTAACACAATGATGGAACTTCATCACTATCAAGTGTCTTCGGGTGAAAGACTGCATAGATATTATGGCAAGATGGTCAACCATGACTCGCTGATACCCGACACGGTAATTTTGTGGTGAAATTCAATTCACATAGAAGATTTGGACTTGTAACATTAAAATCAACTTAATATGAACATAAACACTTTTCACAAAACAGCGAATCAATGGGACGGTCTTGTAGTAATAACGAGACAGTTGATAAATACTGTTCATAAATAATACTATTTAGTTGAAACATTTCCTTCAGCTTTCCCAAGAAGTTCATAAGCGTTTTCATTTTGATAAGCAGTGGTAAGTTGACCATAAGGATTATCTTGGTTGTTACTGATGTTGCTGAACGGTTGAGTAACTGGTTGATTGATGGTTGTTTCTGGTTGTGGTATATTGCTACTTGACTGGTCAGTGCTAACTATTTGTGACTGGTTTGTCCTAGATCTTGACCTAATATTAATGTAAAGAATATATTTCTGTTTTACTAACATAATACACTAATTAACATTATTAGCTATGTTGACTTTCCAACTGGGCCATGCAGCATATAATAGAAACATCAAGAGTTCCAGACGGTGAGCGTTCTCGCCAAAACATCCTAAGTGAAAGGTTCAGTGGATGTTTCAACCGGTTATATTTATTATTTAAAGGGGCAGTATACACAACTCTCATGAAAAAAATCATCTTAAAGTTTACCTGAAAATTATGGTATATTGTGGTATATTGCTACTTGACTGGTCAGTGCTAACTATTTGTGACTGGTTTGTCCTAGATCTTGACCTAATATTAATGTAAAGAATATATTTCTGTTTTACTAACATAATACACTAATTAACATTATTAGCTATGTTGACTTTCCAACTGGGCCATGCAGCATATAATAGAAACATCAAGAGTTCCAGACGGTGAGCGTTCTCGCCAAAACATCCTAAGTGAAAGGTTCAGTGGATGTTTCAACTGGTTATATTTATTATTTAAAGNGGGCAGTATACACAACTCTCATGAAAAAAATCATCTTAAAGTTTACCTGAAAATTATTCTTAAATTC